TGAGGAGCCCACACCACCCTCTGATTGATTGTGGTGTGTGTTGGTGTATGGCTGGATGGAGGGCCCCCTAACCAGGGGAACCGGAGGCTGGAGATTGGGGGGAAGTGGAGGCTCTGGGGTGGTAAGGGTGGGTTATACCATTCAGGTGGTGACGAGGAGGGGGTGTCATGACAGGAGTCAGAGGGCGAGCTGCTCTCAGGGAAGGCACCCCCAGCATTTGTTACCGGTGGCGTGTTCTGGCCCTCTGGACTCAGACCCAGGCCCTGGACAGCAGATCCATGGTAGCCCTGGCTTTCGGCTGCTGCTTCTTAATGCCAGGTCAGTTAACAAGGCCCCCCTCATATGTGATCTGATCACTGAGGAGCGGGCCAACCTGGCATGTATTACTGAGACCTGGCTGGGCCCTGAAGGGGGGGTGCCCCTTTCGGAAATGTGCCCAGCCAGGTTTACAGTTTGGCACCAGCCGAGAACCCAGGGCAGGGGAGGAGGGATAGCGGTTGTCATCTGGGACTCTCTTGTGGCCTTCAGGGGCACTGCTCCACAAGTGGCCAGTTGTGAGACCCTATTCCTGAAGCTGGGTTTGTGAGAACAGTTGGGATTGTTGCTTCTGTACCAGCCTCCCTGCTGTGTGGCAACCTCCCTGCCTGAGCTACTGGAGGCAGTCTCGGGGCTGGAGGTGGAGTTCCCCAGACTTATGGTTCTGGGGGACTTTAATCTGCCGTCCCTGGGATGTGCCTAAGAGGCAGCCCAGGAGTTCATGGCTACCATGGCAGCCATCGGCCTGTCCCAGATTATTTGCAACCCGAGAGTGGCCTCACACCGGACTTGGTTTTCTTGTCTGAGCAGGGGCAATGTAATCTGAAGGGGGAATTACATCTGTCCCCCCTGTCATGGTCTGATCAAATCCTGGTGGCCTTGAGATCCTCCCATGCCACCCCTCTGCTGCACAGTCCAGGAGAGGCCCTGGCCGCCACCTGGAAAAGGAAGGTGGCCAAGGCCTTGGACAAGATAGCACCTGTGCAACCTCTCTTGACCCAATGAGCCCGATGCTCCCCATGATTTACGGAGGAGTTGAGGGTTCTGAAAAGGATTAAGAGACGTCTAGAGTGCCACTGGAGGAAAACAAGGACCAAATCCGACCGAACACAGGCTAGAGCCACTATTAAGGCCTACCTTGTGGTGGTAAGAGCGGCAAAACGTCAACATTTCTCCGCTCTTATTGCATCCGCAGAATGCCGCCCGGTGCCCCTGTTTAAGATCTCTCAATCTCTTTTGGGAAAGGTGGGCCCAGTGACCCACCTACAGGGCCGTGCAGAGAAGTTTTCTGGGCATCTGGCAGATAAAATCGCTCGGATATGTTCCCAGTTGGATGCCAACCATGGGACATGGCCTGTGGAGATGCTGGGGGTAGGTACTTACCTTGTTATCTGGGAACAGTTTGACCCTGTTGGACCTGAGGAAGTGGACAGGGTA